CGAAATTATGAAGGGAGCCCATCATATTTTCGTCCATAGCCTTATCCAGAAGGTTCTATGGGCTGCTTAGAGTTTAAGCTGTCCATTAGGGTTTTGACTGGAACCCTAGCAGCCCACACAAGTATATAAAGTACCCCTTAGGCTCCAAAAACGTGGAAAATTGATTCTCTAGGGTTTCTAGTCGTTTTTGGGCAGCCTCTTTTCTTCTCCGCTTCATCCAAGTTGCATATGGTGTTTGTGACTCCATTAGAGGTGCAGCACTTGAGGCACTGAGCTTTTGAAGCCAATCCAAGCAGGGAATTGATTGTTATTGCTATATAACAATCAAAGGTAATTCCATAAACCCTAATTTAGTTTATAATATGTTAGATCTAAGTTTGTAGTCTTGGATTCAAAGCATGTAGAATAGAGAAACCTAGATCCAAGCATTAGGGTTTGTATGAGCACATAGGATTGTTCTTATGCCTAAAACCCATCAGTGGTATCAGAGCCTTGATTGGTTTCAATTGTATGTGATGCTTAACTGTTTTGTTTGCTGAAAAACGAGTTTTTGGCCTCTGCCCGACTCAACTCGGCGAGTCAGTATCTGGACTCGGCGAGTTGGCCCTACTCGGCAAGTCCAGGTCTGACTCGGCGAGTCAGTGCGTCAGGCAGAGGGTGTTTCGGGATTTAGCTGCTATTTTGACTTGGATTTGATGCTTAAATTGTTTTATGAAGTTAAAACCCGAATTTTATCTTAATTATATGTTTATCTGGTGGTTGTCGAGGCCAACACAAATAATAACCCTAATTATTACACACTAAAATAGTGTATAGTGGTAAAGGGATCGAATCCACGGAGACTGGTTCAATTTGATAACTCTATGAAAAATCTCTTTGTAAAATACTTGGAATATGACAATAAATTAAAAATGGGGGTTTTGATGTTTTGAAATACTTGAAACAAACTAGAATTAACTATGATTTAAATAGACAATTGCAACAAAAATAAGAATTTGATGTAAAATCAATAAGGGAAAGATGGTTGACTTAAAGTTTTCTCACTTTGACTTTTGATGAACATATCATTAGAATTCAATGGTGCAATACTTGTTTTAAATCCTCAATTTGGCTATAGTAATCCAAGGAGCTTGAGATTACCTAGACTTTTCTTAATTGTTGAAATGGCTAGAGAAGCTCATAACAATTTCCTTAGTCAAAGTCACTAATTCCAAATAGCATGTAATTAGTGAAAGTCAACTAGCATTAAGAACCAAAAAGTCACCAAATCCAAGAGGGGTCAAATGCTTTCACCACCATGTTGGAGGAAATGTTTTTATGATTGTGTGAAGCAAAAACAACACAAAAATCATTTGTTGCTTGCTAATTTGAGGATCCTTTACTTAATCAAGAAATTAGCCAACTAATCACCACAAACACATTTAAACTCATGAACTAAAACATACAAGTAATGATAAGATGTTAAAACACAAAACATTTCCATAAAGATTCAAGAACATGTTCATGGATTCTTCAACATTCAACAAAAGTTCAAAGGATTAACCAAAAGTCAACCAAGATTAGCTTAGCCAAGCATGGCTAAACCCAAAGAAACAAAGTTAGAGAAATTTGTACCAAACATTAAGCAAGAATCAAGAGGTAAAAATATGATGTTCTTCAAGGGTTCTTGGCCTTCAAAAGTCTCCAAAACTCCAGAGAGAATCTTCAAAAATCGGTGTCCAAGAGTATGCAAAAGATGGGCACCAACCTTCCTCAAATAGCTCAAAAGAAGAATTTCCGAAATTGCCCCTGCAGGAGGTTGCGCGACCCGCGTGCTCTTGCGCGGGTGGGTTGCGCGGGTGGTCCCTGGATGTAGCATCTTTGAGGTTTTGGGCCTCCATAGCTTAGCCCACTTGGCCCAGATCGAATCCAATCACCTCCTAGCCCATTTTCTTCAAGTTTTTCTTCATTTTAAGCCCAATTTGACCTCTCCAAATCCTCCAAAGCTCGTGAATTCGCCCGATTAATAATTTACGTACGCTTGAATATTCCCCCGCATCTTGCAAATTTAAAGTTTATTTCTCTCCAAGTCTTCAAATAATCATCAAGATCACTCCATGCATCATCGCCACTACCCATCAAGCCCAACATCATTTTTGTCTACCAAATCTCATCGCCTCCTATATGTCCCGAACACTCCCGCTCCGCTAGACCCGAAAACCTGCAATTATGCTCACAAGATTCGAGAGTACCCGAAATAGTCATAAAATAACAAAAAGGAAAATATGCATGGAAATTATCTAAATTATGAATGAAATATGCTAAAATAAACTATAAAAAGAAGTAATTAAAATGAAGCTATCAAATCACCCCAAGCTTAAACCTTACTTGTCCTCAAGTAAGACAAGACTAAATGAACTTGGGATGAACTACCCTAGAAATAAAAAGAATGGATAGAACCATGGAACCTGTTCGACGTTAGTCAACATGGTCAGAATTGATTTCGCTGCTATCTCACAACTTTTTCATCCGATGACAATGGAACCATAAACCACAGCCAGGACAACTCCTTTAGGTGAGTAAGGAGGGATGAGCAGTCGCAGCCTCAATGGAACATGTATACAATGAAGAACATCTGTAGTAGGGAGAAAGCAACTGGATGGGCTCGGGTGGAGCTCTTTTTTAAGTGTACACTCTGATCTCACATTTGCCGGTTTCTCTCATGTGTAACTAGGTTTAATCGCTCGGGCACCGTTGTAGGAATCGATTCACTTGGTGTTGGCCCAAACCTCCCGTAGTATCCGACTCGACAGTCTCCCTAACATCACCAATTTGCGAAAAACAACTCGATCTATATACAATAAAACATACCTAAATAAATGAATATCAAACGCCGGGTGACCAAGATGTTGGGAAATTTGTTCAATAATTGAACCGGCCACCTATCTAAGATAGTTGCAACTGAAAATTTGCATGCTTCATTTTGTTTTTGTTTTTGTTTTTGTTTTTTTTTTTTTGTTTTTTTTTTTGATGAGAAAACCCTTTGACTCAAAATTTGGTTCCCAAAGGTGTGTAGGTGGAACCGAAAGGGTAATGATATAATCCGAATGGCCTAAGTGTGAAAATGACCATGTGTGGAGCATAAAGATGTAATGTAAGCTCCTTTTCAAACTTGTGGTTTTTCAAAGATAATGAAAATGTCCAAATGTGGACTAAAAGACTCTCTAAATTCTAAGAAAATCGCAAAAAGATATGGTGATGTAAAGAGACCGGATATGGATTCTACTCGGGGACAAGCACCAATGCTTCATCCTAACAGTTCAAACATGATCAAGTGTGATCCTCTCCGCGGTAGTGACCGCAAGGCTAAGAACACCCATTGCTATAGTATATCCTACAGTTGTTAGTATTGTATGCATAATTCTTCATGAAACTACCTGGCCATGATCACTTACCCCTTTAAGCTACCAGCATCTGATCCCAAGTATGAAATCCCAAACTGCAGCTAGTGGTCCCGATTCGATGGGTGAGATAGCAACAAGATCCTGGACCAATAATGATACAATAACTGTGAACCTGTTCCATGGCATCCAAGAGAGGTGAGAATAAACAGACAACAAAAATGCATGAATGCTAATGTCTTAAGCTAAATGTTATGCAAAAATAAAAAGTGGAAAAAGAAGAAAATAAAATCTTTTTGGAATTAAAAAAAATGAATGAAAATTAGCTTAAAACTAAAATGTTATGCAACCTAATTAAAAATGCATGAAAAAAATAAAAGGAAAATGAAATGCCCCACCCCAAGCTTAAGAACGAGCATTGTCCTCAATGCTTGAGGAAAGGGCGGAAAGGACCTAAATCGGGGGGTCGGGCAGCGGGAAATGCCCGTGGCGATAGTGGTAGTCCCACATATCCTGGACTTGGCGGGAAGTGTGAGAGGAGGACTGCTCCAATTGATCAACACGGCTTGCCACATCTAGGATGGCTCTCGAATTTTCTTGCGTTTGGGCGTCGATGCGTTGCACCGTGGAGAACATTGTGCAAAATTGGTCAAAGAACATGGGGGGGGGGGGGAAATATGGTGGGACTTCGTGTCCCTCCTGCTGATGCGGCTGGTCAAAATGATGTGGAGGGGCCTGGAATTGATCATGCGGAAACATCGGCTGCTGCATCGAGGGCTGGTCAAAATGATCCTCAGCTTCGGGCATCTCGTCGTTCTCTTCGTCATCTTCTTCCTCTTGTTGCTCTGCGTCGTCACCCTCATCATCACCGAATTCTGAGAATACACCTGCTTGGGTCAATTGATCTGGAGGAAGCCAAGTGTCGGGGTTGCCTGTATCAAATGAAGAACCGATCCAACTTGGCAGGATGTAAACCAGGGCTTTGTCAGAGTCTAACCAACTGTACGTGCGGGTTCCCCGATCGAGCAACATCTCCATCCGGATGAGAGTGTCACAATCTAGCAGGAAGTTCGGTGGGGTGTCGACAGGTATGTACTCGGGATCCGGGAAGTCTAGGCCGACGGCTCGACCTATGATCGTGATAAGTCCCCCGATGAAAATTTCCCCTGAGGAACGTTGGCGTATGGAGTCACATTTGTCTAAAAAGAAGCCTGAAAAACTGAGGGAGAGTGCACGCCTCATGCTTCGGAGGAAAAATAGCTCACATCTGTTGATTTGACCGGGCTCGAGACGCCCGAAGATACTCGTCGTAAGGACTCGGTGAACAATTCGCCAACAGGGGTGAACGATGTGCTTGGCTCGCTGTCGGCTTGGGTTGAAGGTTAGGAGACCGGAAATTTGCATCCAAAAGTTTGCATCAGGGTCACGCAGAAAGTCTTGGTACTCTTGATTTTGGGGGCTGATGCGGAATGGGTCGTCTATACCCATGATAGAATTAAGCTCTTCGTATGTGGGTCTATGATGCTCCCCTTTCAACTGGAATGTGAGGACTTCCGTGTCATCATCTCATGCATATGTGCTAAGAAATTCCATTGTGGGTTCCTCGTAAGTTCTATCACAAAGTCGAAGAAAACCACGCCAACCGAGTTTTATGAACAAATGGTATACACCATCATGCACCCCAAGCTTTTTCATGGACCTTTTATGGTAGAATTTTGTCGGCCGGATTGCGCGACCCCGAAGATTGGAGCGATAGGTTTTGATCCCAAAATTGAACTTGAACCCGGAATACGCTACCGTGCACCCCAAGCTTTGGTTATTCGTAGGTGCCTAAATGCAAGACTTGTTCATTGAAGGGATATTTTCAACTTGATTTGTGTGAAAAATCCGGCAACGGCTTGTGGTGGCTCAAAAATTATGGGAAAATTTTTGGTGAGATTTTGAGGTTTTGTTTGGTTAGATGTAAAGATCCCCGAAAAAGAAACACTTTGGTGATGTCGGAATTTCGAGAGGTGGTGGGAGTTGGCCGGAAAATGGCCGGAAAGCCGCGAGTTGGGTGGTGCTGGCGCCCCTAGACCCGGCGATGGATCGGAGTAAACTTTAGGTGGGGTTTGTAGAGCACGGAAAATGGTGAAGAATGGTGGTGGTCTCGTCGTATTCCGACCGGTGGAACTCCGGGAAATCAAATTTTTGTGAAAAGTGGGTTTATGTGTTCTTGAGAGAATGAGGGGTTTTTGAGAGAATGAAATGAAGAAGAAGAGTTGCTGGAGGTTTTTAATCCATATACAAGTGTGGTCAACACCCGGTCAATGTTGGTCAACTCATTAAACCACCTGGTCAACGAAAGTCAAAGCTGGTCAACAAAATAGGGATAGTCGTCAAAGCAGCACGCGGTCGCGCAGAGGGGGCGCGCGGGTCGCGCATATCATGCAGTTTGGTGCTTGATTTTTTGTTGCATGTTGAAGACCGGCCGCGCACACCAGCCGCGCACCCGTGCGCGGGTCGCGCAGACCCCTGCTCCCGGAAATCGATTTTTCTCTGTTTTCTTCCGTTTCTTCACTAGTTCTTGATCCCAAATGCCCCAAACACCTAGAAACTCTTGATTTCTTCAAAAATGACTTCAAAAGACGTATCAAAACATTTTCAAAACTTCTTTATTCGAACGTAGAAACACGAAAGCATAAAGCTTTTCCAAAAATGCCTCTCTTTAACGTCTTAGGCGAGACGTCCTTCTAGCTTGGTTCAACACTCCGGTGCATCCAAGTGGATGACTTCAATAACACTTGCATTAAAACTTTCATAGAATGGCTTTAATCGGTGCCCGTTAACTTTGAAAATATGTCCCGTTTCTTCACTTTGGATTTCCACCGCTCCATGGTCAAAAGTCTTTATTACAACAAATGGGCCAATCCACCTTGATCTTAATTTGCCCGGGAATAACTTCAACCGTGAATGGTAAAGTAAGACCCTATGTCCCGGTTCAAAATTCTTCCGGGTGATGGACTTGTCGTGGAAGAGCTTCGTTTTCTCCTTATAAATCCTTGCGTTTTCATAGGATTCGTTTCTCAATTCTTCTAGCTCTTGGAGTTGAAGTTTCCTATGCCTTCCAGCCTCGTCAATGTCGAAGTTGCATTTCTTGACCGCCCAAAATGCTCGGTGCTCTAACTCGACGGGAAGATGACAAGGTTTTCCGAAAACTAATCTGAAGGGTGACATTCCAATAGGGGTCTTATAAGCGGTCCGATATGCCCATAAGGCATCGTCAAGTCTCAAACTCCAATCCTTCTTTGTCGGATTCACCGTTTTCTCTAGAATAGACTTCACTTCACGATTCGAGACCTCCGCTTGACCATTCGTTTGAGGGTGATAGGCAGTGGAGACACGATGAGTCACGTGATACTTCTTCAATAGAGCCTCCATCATTTTGTTGCAAAAGTGCGTCCCTCTATCACTAATCAAAGCCCTAGGCACACCAAATCTCGCAAAAACATTAGACTTTAAAAACTCGATAACCGTTTTGGCATCGTCCGATCTTGTGGCTTTGGCTTCAACCCATTTAGAAACATAGTCAACCGCGAGTAAAATATAAACGTTGCCAAATGATACGGGAAATGGGCCCATAAAATCAATCCCCCATACGTCAAAAATTTCACAAACAAGGATTGGATTTTGGGGCATTTGGTTCTTTTGCGAAATGTTTCCCGTCCTTTGGCACCGCTCACAACTTTTGCAAAACATATAACTATCGCGTGACATGGTTGGCCAAAATAATCCACATTCAAGGACTTTTCTCAAAGTCCGGCTAGGTCCGAAGTGTCCCCCACAAGCAAATTCATGACAAAATTGCAAAATGGATTGGTGCTCTTGTTGGGGCACACATCGCCTAATGATTTGATCGGGACAATGTTTCCACAAATAAGGTTCATCCCACACATAGTATTTTGCATCACTTTTCAACTTGTCTTTTTGAGAACGCGTGAATGTGTCGGGATACCTTTTTGTGACCAAAAAGTTAACGATATCGGCATACCAAGGAATAGATTGGGTAAGGGAAAAGAGATGCTCATCCGGAAACTCGTCCCGCAATGGGAGAGGAGTTTCATTTGAAGTGATCCGACTTAGATGATCGGCAACGAGGTTCTCGCATCCGCTCTTATCCCGGATTTCCAAGTCAAATTCTTGTAACAGTAGGATCCACCGGATGAGTCTCGGCTTTGCATCTTTCTTCGTCATCAAGTACTTAAGAGCTGCGTGATCCGAATACACTATGACCTTGGTACCAAGTAGGTATTGTCTAAATTTCTCCAAGGCGAACACTATGGCCAATAGCTCCTTCTCCGTGGTAGAGTAGTTGCTTTGGGCATTGTCTAGTGTCCTTGATGCATAATAGATCACATGGGAGGCCCTCCCATTCTTTTGACCCAAAACGGCGCCAATCGCATAGTTGCTTGCATCACACATGATCTCAAAAGGGAGATCCCAATTTGGTGCTTGCATGATGGGAGCGGATGTAAGCAACTCTTTGAGCTTGTCAAAAGCTTCTTTGCACGCCTCATTGAACTCGAAATCGACCTCCTTTTGCAAGAGTTGGCACATTGGTCTTGTTATCTTTGAAAAATCCTTGATGAACCTTCGGTAGAAACCTGCATGGCCCAAAAAGAACGAACTTCCCGAACACAAGTCGGGTAAGGTAAGCTTTGAATAACATCAATTTTGGCCTTATCTACCTCAATTCCTTTTTTAGACACAATGTGACCCAAAATGAGACCTTGACTCACCATGAAATGACATTTCTCAAAATTCAAAACCAAGTTTGTTTCAATGCATCTTTTTAAAATTTTTGTGAGATTAGTCAAACATTCTTGAAAAGAGTTGCCATGTACCGTGAAATCATCCATAAAAACCTCAATTATGTTTTCAACATAATCCGAAAAGATACTAACCATACAACGTTGGAAAGTGGCCGGGGCGTTACACAATCCAAATGGCATTCTCCGGTATGCAAAAGTACCAAATGGGCATGTAAATGTTGTCTTTTCTTGGTCCTCCGGTGCCACCGGGATTTGGTGAAAACCAGAGTACCCGTCTAGACAACAATAATGGGATTTCCCGGCCAACCTTTCTAACATTTGGTCAATGAAAGGCAATGGGAAATGATCTTTTCGTGTGCTCGCATTGAGTTTGCGGTAGTCAATACATACTCTCCACCCGTTTTGCACACGGGTGGGACCATCATACCTTTGTTGTTCTCGACCACCGTGATTCCCGTCTTCTTTGGAACGACTTGCACCGGACTCACCCACTTGCTATCCGAGATTGGATAGATCATCCCCGCATCAAGAAGCTTTAATATCTCTTTCTTCACGACTTCCATCATTGGTGGATTTAGCCTTCTTTGCGCGTCTCTACTTGGCTTGCATTCATCCTCCATTAAGATCTTGTGCATACAAGTGGAGGGGCTCAAACCCTTGATATCCGCAATCGTCCAACCCATGGCTTCTTTATGCTCCTTCAACACCTTGAGGAGTTGCTCTTCTTCAAATTCGGTTAAATGAGTTGAGATGATAACCGGAAGGGTTTCATTCTTTCCCAAGTAGGCATACTTCAAGTGTTGAGGTAAGACCTTTAATTCCAATTCGGGTGGTTGAACAAGGGATGGAGACAATTTTGTATGAGTTTGGGACAATTCAATTTGCTTGACATCTAATCTTGTGGATTTTTTCATTTCCATTTTATTTACCAACTTCTCAACTTCCGGATCCAAAGAATAAACTTTAATTGCTCGGCTAGCTTCCCACAATCGAATCCTTTGCTTAAGATCATCTCCAACATATCACCGTTAGATAACTCAAACAATTCTTGAGTAATTGGCTCAACAACATCAACAAAGTACAAAGATGAAACATCACTAGGATATCTCATGGCATCATAAATATTAAAACTTATTGTTTCACCATCAAACTCCATTGTCAAACTTCCCGCATACACATCGATCTTTGTCCTAGCCGTCTTCAAAAACGGTCTCCCAAGCAAGATTAGAGCCGATTTGGAAGACACTTGCTCATCTAGATCAATCACATAGAAATCCGCCGGGAAGACTAATTGGTTCACTTGCACTAGGACATCTTCTAAAACACCTCTAGGAAAGACACTTGATTTATCCGCAAGAGAGATTATGACACCGGTTTCACTTAAGGGTCCGACATTTAATGATTCATACACTGAATAGGGCATGACATTGATAGAAGCACCAAGATCAAGCATAGCACTACTAAAAGTGACATCTCCAATCTTGCAAGGAACCGTGAACATTCCGGGATCTTTGCATTTGGGTGGAAGTTTCCTTTGTAAAACCGCGGATGCGTTTTCATTCATCAAAATTTTCTCATTTCCCTTCAACTTCCTCTTGTTGGTACAAAGTTCTTTCAAGAACTTTGCATATCTCGGGATTTGCTTGATTGCATCAAGTAGAGGGATGTTTACTTCCA